TGTGCAATTCATGAAAGGCTGATGCGTAATGAATTGATGTTACTCTTTCTGGGGACAACCCTGGCCGCTGCACCTGATTACCTGAAGATATTGGACAACAACATCATTAGATGAGACTAATAAGAATTAAAGAAGCCATTTTCATTGTTTAGCGGTTCATTATGTTGCTTCCTCAGTCCCTGTACTTGGTGCTTTTCGAGATGTTAGATTTTTTTCATTATAATTTTTAATAAATAATTTAAAGCTTAAATTTGACAATAAAATCATTCACCTGGTGTGAATGTATATGCACCTCAATAAAAAATCCACATGCATTGATGTGCATGTGGACATGTGTAGTAATAGTAATACAATACTTGTCAAAATTGAACAAATTGAGAAGATGTTCACGTGGTTTCACCAACTTTATATCCCTTCAGCGTGTCACATATCTGCATTGCCATTTGAAATTGGGTCTAAATGTCCTTTTCATACCTCCAACCCCCTTACAAATGGAGCACAAGGCCAATGGTGTAACATGTGATAAGCACGTGAACCTGACCCCGTAGTCTCTGTATCGCTTACGTTCGATGAGTTTACAAACATGTTATTTGTTGTGATTGATTTTTATTTTATGAAAATTTGATAATCGATGTTTACTTCTGACCCTATAATGTTGTTGTCATATTGCGTTTCATGGGATTCTTCACTATTTGAATTATTATATATGATGATGATGATGTACATTGAACTGTTCCTTCTCTCCTTTGGCGAGGATCAATGACAGATCTACTTTAATTCATTTAACTGTACAATATATTGTCCCACAAATCACAATCTTAGTATCTAGGATGCTTGTTTATGTTTTAATGCCCATCTCATCGGGCTTCATATAATGATCATGTTCTGTTGTTGGTCAAGTAATTTCGAACTACCCAGATCTTCAAGATGTTTTGTGCAGAGTGGGGTAAAATGAAATGAAAGAGGACGGGAAGGTTCAACTGATCATTTTAAAAGTAGTTCAAAAAATTAATGAAGAAAAAAATAATGAAAATAAATTTAAAATTACGTTTTACTGAATTTGACTCATAACTATACACACTATACGATAACATAAATTTAAATTAAAAAAAATAAATTTTTAAATGTATTCCATCTATTTCTCAAAATCACGTTGGGATATTTAATAGAAAAGGAGTAACATTTGTTTCCTTCTCATGTAGAAATATAAATAAGTTGGCCAGTCTTTAGGAGCCTATGGCCTGATTTTTATATTAAACCTGATATAAGCTATATTTATTAAATAAGTTAATTAAGACACTTTAAAATTTATTGAATAAAAAATAAGATTTTAGACTATTTTAAAAAGTTTATAAGTATAATAGGTTACTCTATTACCACTCCAAGAAAAAACAAGATATTGAATTTTAGAGGGCTTCCTCATGTTAAACAACAGAAACCCTATAGGAGCCTTCCTTTCCTGGGTAGGCAAGTCCGGTCTTATATCTTTTTGTTGAGAGATATCTTAGAGAGTCAAAATTTTACTTTACTTTCTTCAAAATATATTAATGAATAATTTATTTTATTTGTATTTAAGATCACATAATAAAAAAACTAATAAATAATATTTTTATTAAAAAGTATATTATTTAATGTTGTTAATATTTTCAATTATATTATTATTTTTAATAAAAAATTGATTAAAAATTTGTATAAAAAAGGACATTGCCTATCTAAGTCGAAGAGCGCGACTGGAAAGGTTCGTATATGGTTCCTTGTACTGCATTTAAATGCTCTATTATAACTATTGATTATAATGATGTAACATTTATATATATATATATATATATATATATATATATATATATATTGCACAAACCCTAATTTGAATAGTTGAATGAAGTTTTGTTGAAGCTCTTCGATATATATTGGAGCAGAGTGAAATACACGTTCTGCTCTTTTCAAAACATGTGATTACAAACTATAGGAGAAGACATTTTCAATCGATCGTTTAATGAATAAACATTTACATAAAATATGTTAAATACAAGAAAAATGTACAAAGTCCTTCACTTTTTATTTAAAAGATATCGCTTTGATCCAGTTTAAATAAACTTATATGAAAAAAAAAAACTCATAAGAGCTAAAAATGAAATAATAAAATAAATTAAAATTAACTTATATTTTTTAAAATTTAAAGAATAAAAATTATTTTTAACTTACAAAATAAATTTTATTTATTTTTATATTAATTTATTTCTTGTATAAGTAATCATCTAAAAGCTTATACAAACTGGGTTGTCATCTTCTAATTTACTTGTACTTTTACCCTCTTCTCTCACCGTCATCTACATCCATTTCTCGAAGAGGCAAGTGACTCTAATTGCAACAACTAGCAAGCAATGACAAACTCTAAAGATGTTCCATAAATGAGAAAGTAGCGGCGAGGACACAATTGGGATGAACAATACAAATTGATTGATTTTGTGTTACCCTGACAATTCATTATTGTTTTACAAAATTGGCGAAGTTGCACCAATTCATTTCGAATTACAAGAACTTTTCATCTAATTTTTTAATCGGACTAGTAAGCTGGCTAATTCACCAATCCAGCACCTCATCCAACCTAAGATTTATACGTTTGTTGGAATAGAGAATAAATTCATACTAGATATATTTAGTAAAAAACTAAGATACTAGAAGTAGCAAATCTTAATCATATAACTGCACATAGATAATCAAAATTACAAAAATTAATAGTTAGATTATCACTTTAAAATATTACATAACTTGATATTTTAATCTTAATTATTCATAATTGAGATTTACTTTTTTCACTCTTACATTAAAAATTCCTCTCATTTGATGTATTCCTCTTAATATTTGTGATTTTTAAAAACTAATGTGTGAATTTTACATTCTTATAACATGTTTACTGTTAAATTTTTCAATGACAAATTTGAGTGCTTATTCGTCTATCAGGTCAATGTAATGGTTGTATCTCCTTTTTTTTAAAATAAATACCTTAAATGCAATTATTTAATTGTTTAGATAGAGCGCTAATTAATTTTAGCATTCAAACTATACCATTGGCACCAACCAATAATATCTTTTATCATAGAACCTTAATAAACATTTTTTTAAAACATATCTTTAAGTCTGAAAAATAGTTAATTATAAATTTATAATTTCAGAATCATGTTTTTAGAGTTTATTAAAAAAAAATTACATATGTAAACTATCTAAAACTAAGAGTTTAAAAAATACGTAAGTTTCAGAAAAAAAAAAAAAATACGTAGGATAAAAAAATCTTGAAAGAAAGTATCAAATCAACTAATTTGTCGGCCATTAATTTCGTAAACAAGATAACATATAATTATATAAAAAAATTTACGTGACATCATAAATATCTTGTAAAATAAAACATATTTTAAGAGATATTAATTTTGATTTTTTCAAAAGAAGTTTTAACATTTTATTTTACTTTTAAAAAATTAAATTTTATAAATATAAAACCTAATTTCAAAAGCTTATAAATTATAATTTGACAATTAATTTTCAGGAGTCTATTCTATTTTTGAAAATAAAAATTCATAATTATCAAATTACTTCTTGATAACTTAATTTCGAAAGGCTATAAGTTATAATTTTGAAAATTTGTTTTTCACCGTAATAACTTTTGAATTTATTTTTTTTTTGAAAGTGTAAAAATTGATTATCAAAAAATATTTCTGGAAGCTTGGAAATTATGTTTCAAAATTCTATAATTATAATTTATAAACTTCCAGAATTAAATTTTCTCAAATAAAATTTTATACCTTTAAAATTTAATTTTTTTTAAAACAAAAAATTCACCACTCTAAAACTTACTTTTGAGAAATCCAAATTTCAATAAAAATTAATAAACTAGAGAGATGATATGATGGCAAAAAGGGATTAATAAAAAAAATAGGCGAACGATTATCAATAAATTAAAAGATACATTGTAATGTTGCTATGAAATAATAAAGCTTTATATATTAAATAGAGTATGAGTTAAAAATAAGAAAAAAAAATAAGTTAGAATTTTTTTTCATTAGCATAAGATTATTTTCAAAAAATAAAGAAAATACAAAGAATAAAAAATAGGGATTACAAAAAGCAACTCCTTTAATTTTTGTCGACTTTTTATCATTGATTATAGAACAAATTTCCTTCCAAGGCCTTTTAGTTTTGTCAAAGTTCTTAGTTCGTGATCCATGCCTACTTGTTCTTCTCCGATGACTACGGCCCATGTTCAAAGTTGAATTAAAAACCTTGTATGATCGCTTGAGGCCCATTGTTATTAGATTTCATCTTTTTCTGTCAATCTTTAAAAAAAAAAAATTGCACAAGAAAAATCATGTGTGTAAACTTTTGATAGGCGTACGTACAAGTAACTAAATATTGTTTGTTAATAAATTGTTAATAATAAATTTAAAAAATATAATATTATTTAAGTAAAAGTTTATTTAAAAAATAATAAGCAATATAAATTTACTATACTTGTGTTTTGAGTAATTGAGTTTGATTTTGAATACAAAAACCAAAATTTAAACCAAATTAAACAAAAAATACAGTTTTTATTTAATTTTTTACACATTAATAATTATGTTTTATTTATTTTTTATATTTTATAAAATTAACGTGCAATAATTTTTTATAACTTTATTTTTAATAATTAATGTAAAAAATAAAGGGAATTAATTCTTATACACGTCGTCATGAATTTAATTATTTCGTAGAATAGAAAATTAAAACGTGGACTAGAAGGGGTGCTGGCTGCGGCGAGGAATGAGTTGGATGGAAACCGCTTATGCTTACAAGGCAAGACTTGTATTAAAAAAGGAAGCAAAAAGCTCAGATTGAGATGGATAACGCGCGCATCGTGCGATCCCGTATGATTCAAAGCCAATCAAACAAGTGAATGAAGGAAAGTAAGTAGTTTTCAACGAGTGCACGCATCATTCATCAAGGAGGCTGTTACAAGTCTAAGTCTAACAACATTAATATTAATAATACACTAATAAAACAAAAAGACCATAACCTTTCTCTTCTCTCAAACATCAAACCCAAAAACTCTGCAACAAAGCTTCGCACTGCACCCAAAGCAAGTCAACAAGGTAACCAAAATACCGATTCTCATCTCACTCTTTCTCTGCTTCTTAGTAATAGTTATAGTGGTTGTATTTAAACTGATACACACATCGCCGATTCACGTGAATCAGACTCTGTCATTACGGTGTTGTTCTGTGGTTGCGATTCACGATATTGTCACTTGGATGCAAAATGTTTTCTTCTTTGAAAGCCATGGTGATTTTTGGCTTGGATCTTAGGAGCAAAACCGCGTCGAATTTCTGACGTTGGATTCGAAACAGCTTTTGATTGTGTTATATGTGACTTCGCATTTCGATATCAGTTCGCAAACGGTTAGGTATTACATGTGAATGCACGTGTTTATTATGGTGTTGGTTTCGTCACTTTACACGTAGTTTATTTCGTAATTAGTTGTGTATGTGAATGTGAATGCTGTGTTTGGTCGAATGCTTTGTGATTTAACTTGTTAAGAATCATGACCAGAATTATTAGAGGGAAGTGGCGATAAATTTGATTTTGAGAAAGCATATTAAAACTGTTACGTTGTTGATGTAAGTTACTGAAACTGGAACGAGAATGTATGCTAATGAATATTTGTTTTCTTGTGATATTTTACTATTTTGACAATGGAATGCTGTCGCTTTTGGTGCTGTGGGTTTTGTTTTAATTCACTTTAATCCTTTCATTTTACCTATGTACTTTATTTATATACTCATCTTGATTTTGCTGGTAGCAGGCCTATAAATATGGGAAATACGGAGTCAACTTATGAATCTCAAGATAATTTTTACCAACAACCCCCTTCTTATGCTGGGAGTTCAGTGAATAATAGATATGATCAACCTTCTCCTTATGTTGGGAATTTGGAGGATACTACCAATCATCAAACCCCTTCTTACGGCAGGAGTTCATCAAACACTAGCTATCACCAACCCTCTACCTATGCTGGGAGTTCAGCAAATAATCGCTATCAACATAAGCGGCAACCCACATATATAGCTGACCATTTCAGTTCATTGGATCAGGTTTTCACTGCTACTTTTTGTTGGTGATTTATAGAGGATAGGCAATATTAAACTTAGAAATATAAGTGCAGTCACTACTGAGTATTGATGAACTGAATTGACGTATCTGTGCTGATGTTCACGTTGGACATAACTATTTGTAGAAACATTATGCTTATAAAAGATGTACTTATATTTCAGGTTGTTTCTGCACTGAGAGAAGCTGGTTTGGAATCTTCAAATTTAATACTTGGTATTGACTTCACCAAAAGCAATGAGTGGACAGGTTATTACTTATTGAATTTGAAATTAATATTGGACATATGTATATGAATATAGAAAAGTCTCACCTTGGTAATTGCAGGCAAGCACTCATTCCGGCGAAAAAGCCTTCATCATATTGGAAACACTCCTAATCCATATGAGCAAGCAATCTCTATCATTGGCCATACTCTGTCCTCCTTTGATGAAGATAATCTAATACCATGTTTTGGATTTGGTGATGGTGAGTAGCTGTTTCTGACTTTATACAAATGTTCATTCTTTTCTCTTCTGTTGATTTCAGTGAATTTACTTTTGTAGCTTCTACACATGATCAGAATGTATTCAGTTTTTATCGTGATGATAGATTTTGTCATGGTTTTGAGGAAGTACTTGCACGCTACAGAGAGATTGTTCCATACTTAAAACTGTCAGGTTTGTTTTATAACATTTTCTTCCTTTGTTGCCTAGATTTTACAATTTTATCACAAGTATTTGTGACAAATATTTGACTTTTTTGACAAATAAGCTTACCCCAGTTGTGGTGTGTGTGTGTGTGTGTGTGTGTGAGAGAGAGAGAGAGAGAGAGAGAGAGAAAGAGTTGTATAATGATTTATTGCATATGGCTAAGCATATCTTAAGTTTTGAATTTTACTTGCCTCTGAACCTAGGGTCCATTAAGTGGGACCTAATCCTTGTTAAGACAGTTATTGAGGATGAGCTACTGGTTCTTGACCTGTCTGTTTGATGCCATGCTCATTTTGTACTTCCATTTTTTACTAACATAAACTGAAAGAGGTGTTGACTGTAGATGCTTCATGATTTATTTCCTGTATACACTTTGCAATTTATAAGTCTTCTCCTTAAATTCAGCTTTGACAACAATTTTTTTTTTCAGGTTAAACTTTATGCTTGAATGGTGGTTTATTGTAAGATTATAACAGTGATGACTTGTTACTGCACATAGGCCTTGTGAAGTCCTTTCTCTGGATATTTGTGTTACATGCTCAAGATTTATAAAAAAAAAAAAAAAGTCCATACCTTGAATTGTGAAGTAACTCATGTCATGAAATTAAGTAGTTTGTACTTTTTGGATAACATTGAACCTGTGCACCTTATTTGTTATTCTTCATTTCTATTCAGTATCATGGTTGGGGAGTAGAAAGGACTCTAAGGAGTGTATGGTGGTTTGGAGTTGTGCTCTTTCTTACTTTTTAAGGAAATCAAGTTATCTTCAACGACTGCACAATGCTTTTGTGTCCCTTAGGCTACAATCCTTTTGTGTTGGTGGTCCAATCTAACATGTTTTCTCCATTGTAGTTAGTATCACATGATTTGTGATTCGATGTAGTTCTGCAACTGAAAGATACAAATTGTAGGAAGTATCAATTTCATTCCAAAATCCTAGCCTAAATCGCTGATTCCTGTGCATAACGCACGATTCTGCCGCAAACCGGGTCACACGTCAAGCGGGTCAGGTCACGTGCGACCCAATTCACTTAAAACCCTAAAAAACACTTTTTTTTAAAAAAATTTATGCACAATGTGAGGGAAACTTTCAATACTTCCTTTACAGTGAGACACACTATTATATTTCAAAGAAAAACCCTTAGTTTCTCGTTCCCACATACTTTGCTCCTCTTCTCCACAATGTTTGTTGCTTTTCTCTTTGTCTCCTTGTGCATTATTGTGGTTCTCTCAACTTCTCACTCTCTTTTCAAGATTTTGGTGGTCCTCTGTCTCTTCAACATTTCTACCTATTTTCTATTTATCTTTTCCTACTCTTTTTGCTTGCTCTTTGCTGTTTCAAGAGACAAATGGGTCCTATTAGAAAAACAAGAGTGATATTGTGGAAAAACTATGAAAATGTCCCTCCATATAGGCTAGTAATGAAATGCAAATACTGTTCTATTTAGAGTGAAATTGAAGAGATATTTAGAGATGGGGAGGAAGAGGAAGAAGAACAAGAAGAAGAGTCTTTGCCATTGAAAAATGAGAATGTGCTAAGTGATATTAATCTTGGGGAGCATGACTAGATTATGTATTTGAAATTTGGACATTTTGATTATTCCTTCGTCTACATTTCTCACCAAGAAAAAATCGATTTACAACCTTAAAACTCGCTTTTAAAAGTAATAAGATGTTTTACCCTCTTTTTAAAACAAGTTTTCATGATCTTAAAGTCGTCGAACATTGAAAAATCAAGGATAGATTGTCCTTCCTCGTTTAACTCTCCAAAACCAAAACTACCATGAGTTCTTACAAATTGTCTTACTTCACAACCAATATGTCCATTAAAGACTCTACCTATGAAAATCTTTTTAGTTTGTAGAATGTCTTGGATCAACCCATTTAAATTCTCCCAAAACTTTACTTTTAAATGAGCTTCCGAGTCATCTTGTAGTGCATAAGCACTAATAATATTAATAGTGTCTCGGGTAGCCAATAACTTCAAGGACATGATCCTATCTCTAATCCTTTTGATCTCTACTATGTTCTTTTTCCAAATATTATCTACAATTATGTCTATTCTGTTCTTTTCCTTAACTTTTTCTGTGTATCAAAGTTTGAAGTCTGTAGTATTAAGCTCCTTAACTTTATTTTCAACCCATTTTGTTTCTTGAAGGGACATGATGTTAATTTTACTACAAATCATAGTGTCCACCACTTTCAATGTTTTTTTTGTCAAAATACCAATATTCCATGTGCCAACCCTAAACATGCATTCTTAGACTAACTTTACCCACATTTGTCCAACTTAATGTGAGAACCTTTTCACATTTTACCCTATATCTAGGTACCAATGCAGCGGTTCTAGCTCATTTGACATTGTACTCGGGCCATATAGCACATTACTTTTGAGTAATAACCTAGACTTGGTACAACATCATATGTTATCCATATAAAAGGTTTCAACCAGTTTTATGTTGGCTGCCAAAGACTTAACACAACTCATCTCCTTTTCCTAGGCTTTGGGACTGGCTATGGGGCCATAGACGAACCTAAAATCATTAGACACCACCATATTTCAATATTATTTCTTGTTAGCAAGTGTTTGTTCTTTATCTTTTTCTCATTCTCAGACTAAACCCCTATAGTTTCAACTAGGTGTATTTAGGAAGTTTATATGCAAAAGGATTACACTGCTTTTTAAGATGGGGCATCTTCTTTGTCCCCTTTCTTTTATTTTATTTTTTTTGTTGGGAGTCCCCTTGCATTTTATCTTGTTTCTTTCTTGGATTTGCTCTCATTTCAAGAAGGAAACATTCCCTAGAAGAGAGGACTTTGTTGTATATGAGATTTAATTATAACACTTGGCTCCTTATTTATAGGTCCAACATCATTTGCCCCTGTAATTGATGCAGCAATTGACATGGTGGAAAGGAACAATGACCAATATCATGTTCTTGTCATCATTGCTGATGGACAGGTTTTATCCGTTTATCTTTTCCTCCCATTAATTTCTTTTCATGGCAAGGTTCAATTGTTTTTTCCCTCTTGTTTCCTTTTTATTGAACGTTATTTTTTTAGGTTACCAGAAATCCGGATACACCACATGGAAAGCTTAGTCCCCAAGAACAAGCAACCATTAGTTCGATCATTGCTGCAAGGTAGAGCAATTTCTTTTGTAATCTTGTGCTGTGCATGTATCTGTTTTTAATGTGGGGTTATTCTGATTATTAGTCACTATCCTCTCTCAATTATTTTGGTTGGAGTTGGTGATGGACCATGGGATGAGATGCAGCACTTTGATGATAACATTTCTGAGCGCTTATTTGACAACTTTCAGGTACTTGATAGCTCTTGAAAATTAAAAATTGTTTGCTTTTACGGTAACTTTTACATTTGATAGTTGGAGATTATAAGGACAGGAGTTTTTAGCATGATAATGACAAACGTGATAGTACATCAGCTAATTCCAAAGTTAATATCAGAGGTCTGTAATAAAGTGGATATTATTAGAGAAGGAAATGTTTCATTAAGCTGTTCTCTTGGTCAAGACGGACACAATTTGGTGATCTATTGTCTTTGAAATTAATAAACCATAAATGTCAAATCACTACCAACCTAGTTCACCCATTGTTTAACATTGTGTTAATGTCATAAATATAATTACTTTTTTTTTACAAAAAAGGTAAATTTCACCCTTCCTATGAAAAATTTAAATTACATATTCTCTTTTCTATTTTAAAATTACACTACATCTCAAGAGAGATTAATATATGTTGTGCTTAGTCTATTTTAATTCAAACGAGCCTTTTAGGGATAGACTTTCTCTCTTTCTCTCGCTACTTTTCTCAGCATCATCAGCTAGTTTTGAATCCCTACTATTAGTTTTAAGACTTGGAGTTAAGTTTCAAAGTCATAAGAGCGTTTACAATTTTATTTAATTTTCCAAGGTCTTAAAATTTATAATAGGGTGTTCAAAATGACTTGTCATGACACTAGAAATTATATGGAGATAGAAAATGTATCTGGGGGCTCGCTAATAGTTGCTTACCGTTGCTAAAAGTACATTTCATCTCTAAGGAGAAGTGTAATTTCTCAATAGGTCATATCGGTTACGTGAATCAAACGTAGTCAGTATATTATTGTGAATGGTATTTATAGACAAATTATGGTTTTGTATATTGTTTTTCTTTCTCTCGCTCCGCTTCTAGCAATTTAACTACCTTTGGTCTAACGCATTCTCCTAATTGGGGTTCTACAAGCCTTCTCTATATGTGTCTAAACCACATAAGGAGACATTCTGCCATTTTTTTCTTCAATATAAATAAAATTGACAATTTTTAGGGTGTTAGCTAAGAACTAAAAATGTTTGAGCTAGGTATTTTGTAAGTCTGTGAAATTGCCATATAGAATTATAATTCTAATTTTAATAAGGCTTCCTAACATAAAGATTAAAATAAACTCCCAAGCCCAATTTTATGCCCAACTTCAAACACCAACTGGAACTAGTAATTTCTCTTAGAGTCGTTCTGTGAGAATAACATTGTATTGGTATGAGAACTGGTGGTGATTAGTTTGAAAGTGAGTAAATGACTGATTAATATAAAAAAGGGATGGAAAATTTTCAATGCTCCATTGTAGAAAACTATTCTTAATTCCGGTGTTATGATTTTTTTCTTCTTTTATTGATGAAATTTATATATGATATCTAATTTGTTCTCTTTTTTAATTCCTTTAGTTTGTAAACTTCACAAAGCTCATGTCCGAGAACACAGAAGCATCAAAGAAGGAAGCAGCATTTGCACTAGCCGCCCTTATGGAAATTCCATTTCAGTACCAGGCCGCCCAAAATATACAACTTAGCGAGTAAGCCATGATCTGAAGGTATGGCAGTTCTATATTGTATTCAAGGATCACTGAGTGTCGAATCTGTCTGATGCAGTAGAGAATCAGTTCGTCATCAACGTAAAAGGCCTCTTCCTCCACCAAAAGAAGTAATAGATCATGATAATGCCCTCATGGCAATTCCGCGCATGACAAATTTCGAATCAGTTGAATCAATGGCTCCAGCAGGTCCGGAACCGGTATGTTTTCCTTGCTCCTCCCTGTTATCTTCTGTTTATATAGATTCATGTTGAGATCACTAAGCTTATGAGAGAAAAATGTTCTTCCTCTTTTCAAGGTTTGCCCCGTTTGCCTAACCAATCCGAAGGACATGGCTTTTGGATGCGGTCATACTGTAAGTCTGTTTAATGAACGTATTAATTATAATTATTGTTTGACTCTAATGTCAACGTGCGCTTGAGTTTATTAGCTCTGTTGTGTGAATAGTACAAACTAAAGGGGATTTAGGTTATAATTTTCACATTCGGGTAGATTACGTAGATCAAACATGCTATTATTATATGTCCAAGACAAGTTTTAGGAGAATTTATTTAGATAGTATTCGGCCAAGCTTATTTTGGGTTTCTAGTCTTTTACAATCCATTCTAAGATTCCACTAAATTTCTTCTTAACTTTAAAAATACTTTATATATGCCATTTTCATCATAAACCTTATAGTAATTAGATAAAAAGATAATAGGAGGGTTTTAAGTAGAAAATAAGGGGGTTAAACTTGCTTCATTTTTAAAATAGATTCAAGTAGCTTAAAAACTTTTAGGGACTAAAATTGTATATATAATGAATTTGAGTAAGTAGTTTAAGAATTTATTAAATTTTTAATATACGAAGACTTGTGGCATAAATTAAATCATATAACTAGTTAAAATAAATTTATTTTGATAAATTATATTATCAAAATAAATTTGTTGAAATGAGGTAAAACGAGCTTTTGAGAGTCGTAATGAAGAAAACTGAGATAAAACAAGTTTTAAAAAACTTCCTTCCGGAGCTTTTGGCTTCACTTTATTCCAGTTTCTAAGATATTTAAACTCCAATGACACCAAGAAATTTTAGCTTAAAATAAAGTTTTGAAGTTTAAAAAATTGTAATTATTAAATAAATTTAATTTCAAACTTAAAGCTCTTCTTTTAACTTTTAAATTAATTTTTAAGTTAAAAAGAAAGTTAGTCGAAATACCATCTTACGTTATAATTCTGTTCAGTGGATCTTGTACTTTTGATGAAATTTTAAAGGAAAATGAAAAGAATGATTTTCTCTTGGTCAAATCAATTAAGTATGTGAACATTTGAAATTTGACACGTTCAAGGATAGATTTATAAACGTAAGGGAATAGAGAAAGAATTTTTTTTTAATAGATAATTAAATTAATAAAGAGGAAACTCTTAACTCGTCTTGTAAAATTACATGCATCACTACATTAGTTCATAAAAAAATGTGTTCACCAAGTTAGTGTTTTAACTTTAATTATCACCGCATTAATCTTCTAAACATTGTTTCTAAATTAGTCCCTTAAAAATTATTATTTACCACCCACAAAGCGTAGCATAGTAGATGGTTAGGTTTGTAATTATGTTGATCAGAATTTGGTGTATGAAAGCCTTTATTGAGAGAGAGAATTTACTTAAAGCGACATATAATTTTTTATAGAAGATAGGTGACGACAACTAAGACTTCTGAAATACGAGTAATAACAAAAAGGAATATTCAGGGACTAATTGTTTTGAGTTGTGAACGACTAATGTAACATTACATGTAAAAAATCAAATTAAAAAAAAATCCCTATCAATTAATTATAAAGTTATGTATAGTTGTTTGTAAAATTAAAATTTGTTTATATATTTTTCAAGAAAAAAGTAAGTGAAGGGGGGGGAGAGGGATATCTAACATTGACCCGCCATTGTAAAGACAATACCTAATGAATTTGTTATTACAAATTAACAATGATTGAAAAAAGCCTTCTATTTTCTCCCGTTATGTGGATAAGGAATTACCAAGAGGATAAAATGTATGTCCATGTTTAATTTGCCTGTAATCGTGTTACAATTTATTTGCCCTCTTATTATTATCTATGTAGACTTGCAAGGAGTGTGGCTCGACATTATCTTCATGCCCTATGTGCCGGCAGCAAATTACAACTCGCCTGAGATTATACACTTGAGTGTTTATTCAATAAGTACTGCCGCCATTGATCATGGATAAATAGTGTTAACCATTATACCATTTCCTACCATTTTAACTTAAGGATGAGATGTATAGAGATGTGTATAAAATTGTTCTTAAAACAAATTGCTCATTAACTAAGAAAAAAAATTGCTGAAAGTTAATTTCACAGAATTTGAAATCTTTCAATTTACATCAAGTTTGAAATCCTATACTTTGCTCTAAAACCCAAGAACCTTTCCAAAATAACCACAAATTGTCTTCAACAATGGAGAAAACAGGTCAACAGAAAATAGCAGCAAGTGAATGAATCAAGGGAAAATACTCAAATTGACTACGTAATGTTAATAATGATAGATAAGGGATCCGATTGTATGAAAAAAAAAATACTACTTTACATTTATGGCACATTTAGTAATATAACATTTTTCTAGTTTTTATCAGGGTACGTACAAGTTCCGTTGACAAATAGTGATGATAATACTATATGCACACAGTACATTTATGAATTTAATTATAATGTACTGTTTACACTGAACCAATAAAAATATACATAAGTTGACAATAATTTTATTATAAAAAACAACTATTTTCTACGATGTCAAAAAATATTTACACTTGCAGTACATCCTAATTAAATTATTTGAAGTATAGATTTGAAAGATGTACCGTTCACTAAAAATATACTGAAGAAACCTCTAGTAAGTTGAGTAGTTCTATCTTGTGTGGGATTAATTTTTAAATGAGATTTAAAAAACATGTTTAACAAAATAGTATTCTTGAAGAAAATTGCAAAAATATGAAGTTGAAAAATTGTCACCTGCCAGTTTATCTAGATCTCAAATCACCGCCGATGATTTTTTTCTCAAAAAAATATTAAAAAATTATACTCGTGAATGAAATTTGAAAAAATAATAATAAAATTAAAGTACCCAAAAAATGTCAAAAGTTCCCATATTTTGATAATTTTTTCATTTTTTCTCAAAAATAAAAAATAAACCCATGTTGCGTGGGCTAAAAATGATTAATCTACATTAAACACATCCCCACAGAGGGCGTCCTAGCAATTATCGATAGAATGTTATAATCACGTACCTGTGGAAGACAGTCAATTAATTTAACTCTTCAACTGCGATATGATATAACTCACTTGACTAATCGGTTTAGGCCAGTCACCACCCTCTTTCTGGGTAAATATCTATAATCTCATCCTACCAAGATACCCTTGCACCGTAAACCCTCATTTTGATATTCAAAAGATTGTTTCGCATCAACTAAATCCTCGAAATACAATTCTTCTAACATCAAAGTAGCCCAGCAGTTACTGTGTCTTGGAACCAAGTTGATGTCATCCGATAGCTAAATTATCATTTGAGGATTCCACAAATCCTTCAAAATTACCAATTGGGTTTACTCTCACAGATTGTGGCAAACATCCGATTGCTTCTATTGGTTTCTAAGATCAGCATGGTCAAATTCGGTGCATGAACCAGCTTTCGCAAAATCATATATTTAAACTAGAGCATGCAAAATTTCGGATCTTTGCCACATGTATTTTCCTTCCAGTAATAGAAATTCGGTCACAAGAGCTTGTCACTGGGTATCATCTCCAGAGCTTTTCCTTCAGTTCCCAAAATTAATAAATTCAATAATACCTACAATTGTAACATTTAAGTCAAACCCAATAAACAGATTAGGAATGGTATATATATATCAGGGCTCGGTAATAAGATGCAGGGGTCCGTAAGTAAGAACACATACATACATGCTCGTGCATGCTGATGTAAATACCCAAAAGTATGGAATCTTAGCAGAAATTTCAAATGATACTCGGAATTCAAACCAGTTATGAATATGACTAAAAATTCATAAAGCTGAGTTCGATTTATTTTATTTTATTATTTAAATATTCGGTAACATCCTGCGATGAAAAGCGGATAAATATTCCAATTTTTGGTATTCCAATGTTTGGATATATTAATGGGTGAAAATTTCCTATAGGTCATTGACTAGATCGTTATGAAGACTATAAGACTAAAAGAAGATAGAAATACCTGAACTTGACAAAATCTTTAGAAATTCCATCTGTCCAATTGCAATTTTGCTTCAGCCATATCTTTCTGTGCTTTTTTTCGTCGATAAAAAATTGGGCAATCCCGACTGCAACACAATAGTGCAGGAAAATCAGTTGGAACAACGAATAACACAACTAATTGCAAGTTGTTGAATAAAATCTACAAAAGAGCAGATGAGAAGACACGAGGAGGGAGAAACAAAGGCACAACAATAATTGATTTATGTTATGCCAGGACAGTAACAAGCTCAGCAAAAAGGGGAAAAACAAAACTGCTTTATTTCCATGACGTGATTAATTAAATACTATACTATGGCTACTCTTAAAACCAAAAATTTGAGAAGTCTAGCCACACAAGTAATCCCTTAAATGATATAAAATTTATTAAATGAATGAACATACCTTGTGCAGAGAACATCCTGATGAAGTGAACCTTGGCACTCCTGACACTGTGTCCACAACCTCCCAAAAAGCATCTCCAGCTCTGAGACTGCAGCCACACCACCACTTAATTTTTCCCAATAAACAAAATCTAGAACCATCCAGTACTACAAAATCATTTGAAATTTAACATAGAAGGCCCAAGAGATGCGCACCTTGAGCCACTGTTTTACAATACAATTCAGCTTCTCTTCCTTTGCAATGTGAACAGAGCGTGTGATGTCCATTGCTGAGCCAAATGCAACAAAAATAATATTATTAGGCTTTTGCATAACTGACCGATACTAATGCATCATAATACACACAAATGAACCTCAGTATTAGGTCTATTGAAAAGCAAGACCTAAGTATTATCTAGTATATTACTAGTCCAAATATAACTTGACAGTTACAGGTGCAGACTGCTAAGTCTTTCATCTCCATCACTAGTCAGCAGTTAGTTTTATGATCATATACCATCGGAAGAATCTTGTTTCCTGTTAGAGCTTAAAGTTAAAACCATAAAAAATACTTTATGAAACTGGCATCAAGATTTCAAGATCTTATACTAGCACAGATCAATGGCGCCTCTTGTGCAAAATAATATCTCACTCATATTAACTACAGAAACATATTGAAAAGTAGGATAAAGATTTGCAGATGATATGTTCTCAATAAATCAACTATTCTTTGTCACTAAGATGCCAATTAATTCTCAAATGATCATTAATAATATAATGACTAAAGGACTCTTGCACCTATTGCATCCATGCTATTTTTTTGGGAGGGATCCTATGCTCACTTCCACAAAGCATAACGCCCTTGAAAGGTTCATAACTACTACACAATATAGTGCAGGACTATGAATTGCTACTGAAAAAGTTATTTCATCGCTAGCTACTGAATAAGTTAGCATGTGCATAAATGTTAATTCTTTGTAGTTCTTGTGTGTTTTTCCTTTTCTGGAATCTAAAGAAATAAACAAAGAAAAGGGAATATATAAAAGACAATCAACAGTGAAAATCTCAAAGCTTCAAGACAACACTGAAAACAAAAAAAGAAAGAAAATAGATACCTAAGTAAAGCTTTACAACCAATGCAAGTAAGCTGTTTCTTAGCAAATTTCATTATGCCACTGTTTGATGGAGTAGAAATAGAAATAGATCTTGTGTGACTTCCATGGAGAAGTTCCTTGCTAGCATTCTTCAAAATTGGCTCAAAAATTCTCAGAATTGGCTGCAACACAAATGAAGCTAATAAAGAACAGTAAACATTGGAGAAATCTGAAAGATATAATAAACCAACCTTGCTAATTTGATTCTCAAGATAGTATTGAGGATCTATTGGTATGTTATTCTCTAGCACATAGATAGGATCCTCTGATCTCTCGTATGCCTGATTTTCTTACACAGGTTAGCCTAGAGAAAATTTAAACAAATGTTAGAAAAACTTGCCCAAAAAGAGATGGACAATGTGACATTACCTTTGCACCTTTTGCAGCTTTAATAATAACATAAGGTACTCTATCTCCAACATTTGGAGCAGTGGCAGGATCTCGCTGTCAATCACAAAATCAAATAAAATACATTCATGGCCCATGAAACAGAAACATGACAAGTTCAATAAGCCTCAAACAATTAATATAAACCTATGGCAGAAATGAATACTGCATAGTGCATAGGTCCACAAATAACTTGCCAAACATTAGAAACATCAACTTACATGACCCAAGCAATGATAATATAAAATGCAGGCATCTAGATTGAAAAAAAAAAATCATGATTTTTTCTAAGGACAAATTTTATATGTTACTCTATTCGTGCTGTTTACTAATCAAAATTAGTGTTTTTTGAAAATTTAGTGTCTGACCGAACCCAATAGCATCTAGTGATCTATATGGCTGACCTCGTCTAATGGGATAAGACTGGGTTGTTGTTGCATTTTAATAAAAAATTTGTATTTACTTTTATACATATAACTAAGGTAAAACTCCAATCTTGATTGGAGAACACCAAAAATACATATAGTAGTACCCCTAAGTTTTGTCATTTTTATAATTTTTGGTTTCAAGTTTTGGTAGTGCATATGATCATAATATCATAACATCGACAGATTTTTCCCGTTGCCTTCATTTTTTCCAAAAACAAAAAAGATCAAATATCCATTGCCTAAGGGGTCAATGAGAATGATAAAAAAATGTATTTGATTATCCAGCCAACCTTGCGCATCCTTTCAGCAAGTTCAACATGAGCTGCCTTCACTTCATAATCATCTCCTGTCTTCGTCAAACCCTGCTTCAGCAAGCATGTTAGTGATAGGTTCCAAGAAATTATTCTAGTAGTGCACTCACATCAAATATCTGAATGCTCCACAAAGAGCAAATAGCTATAAATTATCATTAGGTACTCTGTAAATCTAGTAGACTTCCCACCTTTGTAATAACCAGAAGTGATAAATCCATACGATTCATGAGAAGATCTGAAATTGCACTCTTGACATACTGGACTGCCCCAGGAATGTCCCTGTCAATCAGAATTTTGTGAAGGCAATCGTTCACCAGGTTTTTGACCAATAAACAGTTGTCTCTTCGAACAGTTTCAATGCCTGTTAAATGTAAATTTAGTTAGAGGCACTTCTACAGAGCAACAGGAAGGTAAAGATTAATGTTTACCTTTTGTGTCCATTTTGTCAAAATTATCCGG